GAAGGAATACAAGACCGCCCCAAAGGAAAGCCAAAGCAAATCAGAAAGGGCAAGCATTGAAAATAAAAGATAGAGTAGGTAGAATTAATGAGACTAATAAATAAACATAAGCCCACTCCACCCTGAACATAATAAGGTGCTATCACTGGCTTTGAGCAGTTAGCTCAGTGTTTCGCTACTAGTGTTTACAAAACCTTTCTCACACTTTTTAGCACTTTTTTATTGGCTGCGATTCCAGAAATGTCTCATGTGCCTGCTGTCTCGTGAAAAATAATCTCCCTCTGTACCTTTCACATCTCACCAGCTTATTTGCCTTATATCACATGTAACAATGCTTCTTCTGCTCATCCTACATTCTCTCGTCTGTTTCCATGCTGACATCCTTTCCTACCTGACTTCCTTTCCTTTCCCTCTCCCTTCCATTAACTTTATTTTCCCACTTTTCTCCCTGTAAGTAGGTGGCAGTGAGCCAAGCATCAGCCGGCCTGCCCTCGCCATAACAACTAGTGGAGATGTCTTCAATTGATGGGACAAAAGGGCCTTCAAGAATCAATGCTGCTTTCATGGGTGCTTACAGGTGCAAGCAACCTACAGGGTTAGAGCTGGAGATTTGGAGTGGAAGAAAGGGAGGTGGAAATTCCTGTACAGAGTTTATCAATGTGACATTTAACAGCCTTGAAACACTGTTTAGCACTGTGAACTTCTCCCTAAAACAGCTAATGCCCTTCATACATCCTGGTACTTAGAGTATGAACCCTCCACACACACTGTCTCTGCTCTCAGTCACAGTGAAACGGTGCCTTTGTGTGATAATAAGGAATGCATGAAGAATCATTATTTCTACATTCTTTTTATGAGAGCCTATAAAAATGTCATTCGCCCATTAGCGCTGTAGTTTATTCCGGCCCATTAGCTCCTGCACACAGCGCTAAACTAACATTCAAGCTAATCCCTAGCCAGAAACATAACTTTAACCAGATCCTGACCTGTGCTGCTGATGGACTGTTTGTCATAATGACATCATCCATGATCCAGATGTAAACCACAGGGTACCATTAGATATTAAAACATGGGATTGAAATCATTAGAAAACTTACTGACAGGCTTCTTTGCAAGTCTATAGATAAATCTGTATCAGTATGGTTCAAAATGTCAGTAAAACAGGCTTTTATTTTGAATTATGATCAACTGAAACACACACAAGCTAACAACTTTTCAGTTTGGATAAATACAATATACCAGTCATTTATGTGTTCAGATGCCACTGTTTGACACCTTACTAGACCTGTGCTTCCCTCTCAGCTGTGGTCCCATGTCCAGACCAGTACGACTGCAGTCCTTGTCCTATAGGAGAATAAGGAGACACTTCATGGCGGAGCTGAAGTCATCCGCCAGGCATCCGTCAGAACAGCCACCAAAACAATACATCCCTCTGTCCTGCTAACACAAGGTTGGTTTTAGACAAGAGGCCGCACAGCGCTGAGATGGACTGGCAGCAGCAATCAAACTGACAGCTAGTTTGACCTTGTCTTATACTTTAACACCCCATAGTCATCCATGGTGAGAGGGAGTCTGTCTGATGATTACTGGGGTGTCTCCACAAGTCAATCAGTTCAACGTGGCAATTGAAAGTGTATTATACGAGCCTAAAAAGCTATTAAGGCATAATACTACACACGGACACACATATCTCCCAGAGCAGTAAGCAAGGGTGTACATAGAGATAAGTGAGAGGCTGATCTTGAAAGTTGTAGCCAAAACACTGGACAAAGTGCTTTTGGATGTGCCACCAGTAGCTGGAGGAGCAGAGACGCTGAGGTAATGTCAGTCCTTCATAGCCTGCTGTTTGATTTTCCGCTCTCCAGAGTCACAGTCACAGTTAATCTCAGTTCCGCGCCCTGCTGTGCCCAACCCCAACCTGCCACCTCTGTCTCCAATCCTGCTAGATCACCATGGCAACAAGGACCAACCATGTGGCGCACACATGTTGAATAAGCTACAATACACACACAACCACTCTGTGGTGTTAGAGAGTAATAATAAAGAAATTCTGGCTTTGGATACTTATGAAAATGTATTGAAATGTGTTGTGTGTAGGCAGAACAGTCAGAGACGACTGTACCAATCACGGATTAGACCTCTGTTGTCTACTGTACTCTTGACCCCCACCTCCTCACCCCTTTTTCTCTTCCACTTTCTTTATAGAAAGAATAGTCGAAACCATAGGCCTCAAACACACAGACAAACAAAGTGGCCTGTGTGAGTCTCTCCCTCTCTGAGTCAAACCAGAGTAAGAAGACATAAAGAAAGCACTGACAGTTCACCACACATTGCAGCAACACAGAGCGGTCCTCATGTATTTTGTGCTGTAGGAGGCTGGGAGTTCATCTGCCCTTCACATTAATCACACTACAAGATCAATTGAACAAAAATTTTGAATTTTCTGAAGGTAAACCAACAAGGGACATTTTTCAAATTCTTTGGGTTTATAAGTGTTGTGTGTGTGGCCTGGTATTACGTATGTTGTGGGGATGTAAATATATTTATATAGTCACATTGCAGGGACTGGACATCCTTATGCGTCCCCAAAATGAAAATCGTTTCCTTTTAGAGTGATGACTTGGTTTTAGGTTAGCCTGAGGGTATGGTTAGGGTTAAGGGTACTGTAAGTAAATGTAATGACCACTAATGGAAACAAAAGTGTGTATGTGTGTGTGTGTGTCTTTATTTACACTACCAGTCAAATTTTAGGACACACTTTCCTCCAGCCTACCGTGTACTGTGAACAGTACATGTGTCTTTGTGCTGGTGGAAAGGAGGGCATAGCATATGTAACTTTGAATTACACTCGTGTTTCAGAGGAAAGGTCCTGTGTCAGCTCCAACTACAGTGTTTGAATAAAGTTGATGGAATATTTCACTCACCAGCTGGCTCAGGCACACACACTCGCACACAGTTTGCACAGGGGTTACATGCAGGACAGCAGTGGAGCGGTCACACACCTCCTCCATGCTGCTCTCTGAATGACTTGGACACTACAGCTATTAAGGTTCTGTGTTTATTATTTGGACTTCCAAAAAAAATTGCAGCGTGTGTGTGGCCTTGTTTATATATACTTGTGGGGACAGAACACTGGGAACACACTGCTTTGCGAGAACCAGAAGTCCCCTGTGAGAACCGGAGGTTGGGCCCTATGACTAATTTGTCAAATTTTAGAAAAATGACAGGGTGTAAGGTTAGATCAAGTGTTGGCTTTGGTTAAGGTTAGGGGAAGGGTTAAGTTTAGGCAAGTAGGTGTTCTGGTTAAGGTCAGGATAAGTCTATGTACGGACCCTGTAAGTGACAATCGCATGGGTGTGTGTGTGTGTGTGTGTGTGTGTGTGTGTGTGTGTGTGTGTGTGTGTGTGTGTGTGTGTGTGCATGCGCAGATGGCCTCTCTGTGCTGGTATGACTTCATCCACATGCTAAACCTACACAGACATCACACCACATATCCCAGAGTCATAGGTGCCCACACACTACACATCACAGAAGTACAACAGATGCAGCATACATTTATAAAAAGACCAACATGTAAACAGGAAGAATAACATGTGGCTACATGAATTTACACTTTGATTGGACAATCTAGACTTGGACATTTAGAATCAGAATAAGCTGTATTGGCCAGATGTGTTGAACACACATGGATTTAGACTCTGGTGCAGTGGCTCATCAAGTTGAAAATTTGCTGATCAGCCCCCAAAATATCTGGGGGCTGGGACCCCACTATGATGGCCCAAATAATTTTGTCTCATTCTATCTTTTTCTTGTGAGATTTTAAATACTTAAATCAGCTTTAAATGATATTGACACTGTGAAAGGCTTGTAGTGATTTACCTACAGAGAATTATCACCTGAATCAGCAGCTCCCCTCAGCTTTACTGAGCTTTATAGTGACAACCTACTAGGCCTACAGTAACCTATATTTGAAAGACAGATGAAGGAAAATGAACCTGCAGCATCTGTAGCTCTTTATAAGTAAAACAATTTATTCTACTGCCCAAATTTTACATCTTACATCCAGTAATGTTCTGTCTCTTGTGTTACAGCTTCTTAGAAGAAATGTGTTTATTAGCTAAATTCATCTACTGTCCACAAAGAATTAGACATGAAGATGCAAAATAAATAAATAAACAAACATACCTAAAACTATGTAAATGCAGGCAGCCTGCTGGCATTTCTGAAAAGGTGAGATAATTTATAATTAAGTGCTGTTGATGTAGATGTAAAGTTAACGTTAATCTGGATCAGGAATAAGTTCTAGCTTGATATTTCCTTCAGGTGTTGGTGAAGACCAAAAACAAACCTGAAGTGGATATTGGATTTCAGGTGGACATAAAACCACAGTGCTCTGCCCTTCTGTTGTTATTCCAGCTTCTCTACCCCATGTGATGTCACCACGTGACATCTAGCAAAAGCTATAAGAAGCATTTTTCAGAACTCAAGTGGCCATTTCAAACAGCCAGCCACCGAGTACCTCTCATTTGATAAAAGTCCAAAACAGCGGCTGCCAGACCAAAGAGGTTGCATTCTTTTGCACAGAGAGAGTGGGGCATCCATAGTTCACATCATAGCTTTAGAAAACAGGACAGAGTTTGTTTTGAGTCTCAGTAAACTCTCTATAGCAGCTGAAAAGACATTCTACTAAACCACTTTAAATGTATACTGTAGGCTATGAACGGTATAGGGACTGGGTGGTTTTCCATCAATGCATCATGTTTAAAGTTGGTCATAAATTCTGAATGTTAAATGGTATTATGCAAAGTTAGCAGTAAATACATCTGTCAAATATCCATGGCAAATGTATCAAACATTATTAAATATAGTATAAGTGCAATAAAATGGGAAGTACAGGAACCTCAAAAGTGTACTTCAGTACAGTGCTTGAGTAATGTATTTACTTTCCACCACTGGAGACAATTATCGATTTCTACCAGGTTTAGCTGTGTGAGAAAACCAACCATGTGAGAAACAGTAATATGACATGTGAGAGAGTAGCAATCTAAACTAAATTATAGTAAGTCAACAGCTGTGGTTAAAGAGAAAATAGATTCATTATTGTGGGACTGCATACATACATCTGTACTTCTATCATTGTGAGGACACTGATGTAATGACTTCCCTAGCCCCTTAATTAAACCTCAACAATCACACATAAGTATATGCCTAACCCCTACCCTTACCCTAATTCTTCCCTTAACCATAAAACCTAGTCTTAACCCTCAAACAGCCCTTTGAAGGGATTGTCAGAAAGTGCTGACTGGCCAAAATGTCTTCATTCCCATGGTATAAAACTCAAACCGGTCCTCACAATATATAGCTCCACACACACATATACACAAACACATACATTTTCCCCTAAGTGCACTGAGATTAATAAAAAGACAACACTGACATGTACTTAGCTTCAACTTTAGCAGTTAGCTGTAGAGACAATGAGCTTGGAATTTGAATATTTCAGATTTAAAATAAATCACAGCAGGACAGAAGCAGGATTTCCCACAATCTCACAAAGGTGAATTTGTTAAGGTTTGGTAATGAGCAGTGAATGTGTGACAGATTTCTTAAGAATGCTACCATGCTGCCACCCAGTGTCTGCTGTGAGTACTGCATATTTTGCTTTTGTATGAAAACTCACCAAAATTTAGAAACATCACTTTTATTTAATTGACTCACACTGGTGATTTGAGTTTCTCAACAGAAAAGTCCTCCCCCCACTTTACCCCATTATGTCTCTGGTTTCACAATATGACATCACAAATAAACAAAAAATAAACAAACTGAAAATGAAAATGTGTACTATCTATACAGATAGAGAGTTTTGGAAGCCACAGAAAGATGGAAGTACTCAGTTATGGCTGACCATCATCCACTGAAACCAATTCATTAAAAGACAAAGAATATTTTAATAACTTGACCTTTCACTCAATTTTTGTTCAACCGCTCACAGAGAACACCTTGTAGAAAACAGAAAAACAGACACCACGTTGACCTTCACAGGTGCTTTTCAATCACAGCTCATCCTTGCCATTCTGAGAGTCTGAGGCTGATGTGCCGTCAGCTTTAGCTTTTTTGGGGTCCTTTTTGGTAACAACTTTTCCTGTCTTTTTTGCCGCTGGCTTTGTATCCTTTTTGTCTACTTGCTTGGCTTGTGTTTTAACTGCAGGTTTTTTATCTATTTTAGCAGCAGGTTTGGCTTTGTCTGTTGTCTTGGCCTTTGCCTGGTCTCTAGCTTTGGCCTTTGCTTTAGGGGCAGTTTTGGCTTCAGTGCCTGTTTTTGTTTTGTTGACTGGTTTTGTTTCTATTTTGCCCTTTGGTTTGTCAGCTCGTTTATCATCTTGCTTATCTGTTGTCTCTTGGTCAGCCTGTGCAGGAGGCTCTGCTGTAGCTGGTTGGGGCTCTGAGATGTCTGTCCCCTCCTTCTTGATGAAGTCGGCATTCACAGGGGTAGAGAACATCTTCAGCATATCCTGAGCTTGGATTCTCTCCTACAGACCCAAAAAAAAAACATTTGAGGATAAACAGAACACAAAATGACCAAATGGGGAATCTGATTTCCAAAACCAGCAACAAATATAAAATGTATACTCCTGTTGGATTAGTTACACTGGGCAAGGGAAGTTCTGTAATTTGTATTTTTTTTAAGCTAGGTGTGTTTTCCAGAAAACGTCCCATGCAGAATTAACAGATTCCTTCAAATTTCTGCTGGCAGTCAAAAATCATTTCATCATGATCTGCAGGTGTGTTTACTTTACAGCTACGAGCCATTATATTTCTTTGTAGCAGCAATAATCCGCTGTGTATATTACATCAGATTTTAGATTAAGGGCACCTTTAGGCTGTGCATCAACAACAACAGTTTATGTTTACTGTATGTCACACTGTGCAGGATGGGTCTAAAAATAAAATCATGCTTTGTACTCTGTGTCAGACTGTACAATATCAGTTCCACTGCAAATTTGGAAAAGCAAATTTATCACCTTTAGAGTTAAAATTAACACTTTCCTAGTGTGTATATGTGAACCACTAAAATGTGTTAAACTAACACTTTTGAAGGTGGTCACATTACAGTTACAGTGTTAGATAAAAACTCAGTGAAAAGCTTTAACACCTAAATATATAACAAAAAACACGTGTCACGGTGGCAGCAATGCGCTGCCATAGGTGGTTCTTGTGTGCACTATAGAATACAATCCTGCAGGCGCCACTGGATGTTAGTACAGAGATGATCCATACCTTTTCTTCGTGAGTTGGATCCAGGGTGAACCACAGTGCTACAGCACACCTCTGGCCCTTAGTGACGGCTCTGACACCATGGGGGTTTTCTTTCCCCGCTCCAAACCCAACCACACGGCCACACTGTGGACGCACCTCAGCCTGGAGAAGATATGATGTTTAATAGTGATGAAGCTTAAAATGTACTGCTGCTTTTATTCACACGTATTAATTAAGTACTGAAATGGAGTATTGAAGTAACAGTTGAATATTTACCATGACGGTTTTAGCATCCAACTCGGTGAAAATGAAATCTCCTCCTTCAAAATCATCATTTAAATAAAGGATGGCACTGCAGAAGGAAAACATTAGGATGTGATGTGGGTGCTCAACATCAGGGTCGCCCAGTTGATGAATAGTGTGTGCGTGTGCTCACCTGTAGTCTCTGTGTGTGTATGCAGGAGGTTCCTTCGTACACTCGTTGAACTCAGAGACCAGCAGACAGTTGTCCACATGAACAGGGTGACTCATATCCTCACGGTCCTCCTGTTTCTCTGAGTAGAAACAGTATAGAAAGAGGAGGAACATTTTAGTCCCTGATCAAAACAGTCAGCTTCTTTTTAGTCAAACAGAACTAAAAACTGTGCTAACCAATCACTTTATATTGATTATGGAGCAATAAAATCAATAAACACCTGAAATAATCAATAAATAATATTCAAGTGATATTGCACATTGTACCAAAATATTGCATAATGAGCCAACAATTAAAATATTTCCCATGCCCATGTAAAACCTGCTATGACCATTAGTGGCTGACTGCTGCTATCTAAAATCTTAATGGCTACTGGGACACATGAGTTCTCACATAACAGTTCAGTCTGCATTTTGGAAATCCAAATTGTCAGCCAGAGGGTAGGAGCTCATATTCAGAGTGAGGGATGTGGCATGGATCGTTTATAATTTTATGTGGCTCTCTGAGCACACCTCATAAAATACTGAAGGGAGTGGTATCTGGTGACAACAGACATAACTTTGTTTATCCACCACAAGCCTAGTGCCCAGGTCAGAGGAAATAGAATCCACAACACTGTTACACTGCTCAATAAAATCCTGAGTGTGGAACCGGAGGTAAAAATGATTCATCTCGCTGGCTTTTTGAAGATCGACTGTAGTTGAAATGTGCTTTCTGCTTGGTTCCATATTAGTCCCATGACTTTTTTGGTGTTCGCTGTACAGAGGTGTTGCTCAGTAATGTCTTTTTTGTTGTTTCCTGGCCTCTTTAAGCAGCTGATTAAGCTCCCTTTGTATTGTGTTTAGCCAGGCCCATACAGGGTTCTGAATGCCATTTCCTTATCTAATACATTCCTTTATCTTTTTAGTAATGTATGGTTTATTGTTTGGATACGTGCCCATTATATAAAAATTGTCCTGGTCTGTACACAGAAAGCAACCTTTCAGTGTGTCTCCCTCTGACCACACCATCGCTCGTTTCCTTTGGCTTACTGTGTTTAAATAATGTCTGTATGTCAGAATGAAATAAACTGCACTGTGGGCAGAGTTAGACAAGAGGGGGTTTTCATTAGTAGTGTAGGCATCTATCTCACTAACAACACAGTTTAACCCATTTTCTTTTCTTTCAGCATACTGCACTATGAGTTATCCCCACCTCTGCAGCTCCCATCAGAGTTTATTTATGTGCTGGATTGGTGTATGGGTGGATAAATTATTCCTGTGTTCATGTAGTTGTTTTTGTTGTTGCTCTTGTTGTTTACATCAATACAATAAAAAAAGACACTGGGATAAGGAAGCATTCAAATACAAATTTACAAAGGTGAAAAATACTCCACTACTCTATAAACCTGAATGTGCTCTAATGATTGATATATTTCATGATCAAATGAATAAATAATAGCAAACATAACTGCCTCACTATCCTCACTTGGAATACAAATGGGAATTCTGTATTCTCAGTATGCAGTAGTGTACTGCATACTGCCCCTGTGTTACAGCGTCTCCACTTCTAAATGAGTATGATTAACCTGCCTGTCTTCCTCCCGCAGTCAGTAATGAAGGGAATGGCCACACCTGAGAAAGGAGGAGGAGTGGATAAAAGGAGAGCAGTTGGCCGCCAGTAGAGGTCAGAGGTCTGCTGCTCGCTGCTGGGCGACTGCTGTGCTGGTCATTTCTTCAACCTCCTCACCACCACCAGTCATTTGACTTATGTTACAGTATGTTTAGTTAATCTTTAGCTGTGGGGAGTAACAGGCAGTGCTGTTTTCAGTTTTGTTTTGTTAGGTTAATGGTTTGATTTAGGATAGGAGTGGAAACCCGAGTCCGACAGCCCACTGCGTGGCTGGCTCACGGTTTTCCCTTTGCTTTTGTTTCTTTTACCCGGGGCTCCAACTTTCTTGTTTTGTAGGTTTTGTTAGTGAATTGTGTTCTTTTGCACCAGTTAACAGAACTTTCTTGTGTTATGTGTTCCTCTGAGCCTTGATTTGTTGCAACCGTAACACCCTGGCTGACTTACCATCGATGGCGGAGCGACAGACCAGGTGGGAGTAAGAGAAGTAGAGTGGAGTGTCCAGGTGGAAGTACGACTCCAACACCTTCCTCACCTTCTCGCTCAAGTCGAAGAACAGACGAGCGCTCTTCAGCGGAACCTTCCCTTCCTGTCCGAGCTGTGGGAGGTGGAAAGATGTTTACATGAAGGAATCCAACATGGGTCCGAGTCTTTAAATCAGATTGCATTCATGAAAAGTTGCACCAGCTGGACTGTAAAAACTGTGACTGTTACGTAAGTAGAACATCACAGGTTTGACTAAACACTTTAGATACGATGAGGTGATGTTTAGTGCTTCAGCTGCAGCTGAGCTACTGACCTTGACAGCCTTCAGGATGGTGACTCCCTGGAACATCTCACTGGGGGTGTGGGGGGAAACGCGCCCCCTGTAGCCATCACCTTTCAGAGCAGCTGCCTGTGAAATGTTCACAACATGAACACTTAAGACATGATGGGCTGACACACACAATGGAAGACACATGGATGTAGAGCAAAAACAGAGCCCAGGTTACATGAGTTTCTCTTGTTATTTTTGAAAATAAAATAAAGACAATATCTATAACTAAAATTACACATTAATACAAATCTTGAAATTTAGTTGGCTTTATTTGGCTCATTTCGTATTAGATGTGTCTCAGTTAGCTTATATAAAACTTTTCAATCAATAATTATTATATATTATGCATTGGAAAGATGGTGTCCCGGTATGGTGATAGTGGCACTTTTAAGGACATGCTTTAGCTTACTGTCTTCTCCATACTTCTGGTATTTTGAATATTTTTAATCCATTTATATCGCCTGTTTTACTAGTATGCAATGTAGTTATTTTGTCCTATCTGTCTTGTTCCTAGCAACTTTAGTTTTTATGGCAGTTAAGTTATTAAGCACAGTAAGTTGTGAACAGCGTCATTCTTCAGATAACTCACATTGGAGAGGCGGTGCAGCTCCCTGCACTCGTCATCACTGATCACTCCATCGAGCAGCACCCGCTGAGAGCCATTTAGCTGCGTGGACGTCATGGTCACTTTGATGTCATCATACAACACAGCGCCACCTAGAGGAAAAGGGCCACGAGCTCAAGCACGGTACAATTTGGCCTATCAGAGACTTAAACCTCTCTTCTAAAATGCAAATGCAAAATCATGACTATTCAGAACAAATACACCATCATCTCACTAGGGCTGCCCCCAGAAATCAACCCGTCGAATTATTGGTCGCGAAGCCCAACAGTCTTCTAGTCAAATCTTTGTTTTTATTTTATTATATTTTATTTTTTGTCAGCCAGTGTGCATTACAACAGAAGGTAGCCCCAGCTCCATGCCCCTATTAGTTTGTCATCTTCTTCTCCTCATTTTGGTGTCCCAAGCACCAATTTGCTCAATACTTTCCCCCTGTGGTTGGGGGGGAATACCCACTTCAAGGGTGACACTGTCTGATGCATGAATGTACAGTGTAAGGGCCAACAACACTATTTAGCAAACTGCTGCCTAGAATGAGGAAAGAAAGTTGTGGAAACATTGTGGTCTGCTTTTACAAGCGAAAAGACTTTTACTATTATATATATATAATATTTGGTAGCCCACCCTTTGGACAAAATCACTGAAATCAGTCACTTCCTGTAACCATCAGTGAGTTTCTTCCACCATTTTGGGCCACTCTTCTTCTGCCAACTGCTCCAGGTCTCAGATTTGAAGGGTTCCTTCTCCCAGCTGCTGTTTGAGATCTCTCCATGGGGGCTCTATGAGATTTAGATCTGAACTCATTGCTGGCCACTTCAGACCTCTCCAGCTCATTGTCTGAAACCATTTCTGCTTTTTGAAGTCTGCTTTGGGTCATTGTCCTGCTGTAAGACCCAACTTTCTGACACTGGGCCCCACATTGTGTCCCAGAATTCATTGGTAGTCTTCAGGTTTCATAAAGCCAAACGCACAGTTAAGACATCCAGTGGTTTAAGCAGCAAATCAACCCCAAAACATCAGTGAACCTCCACCATGTTTGACTGTAGGGACCATGTTCTTTTCTTTGAAGGCCTCATTTTGTTTTCTGAAAACAGTAGAATGATGTGCTCACCAAAAAAGCTCTATTTTAGTCTCATTTGTCCACAGAACATTCTCCCAGAAGGACTGTGGCTTCCTCAGGTAAGTTTTGGCAAACTCCAGTCTGGCTTTTTTATGTCTCTGTTTCAGCAATGGGTCCCCCTGGGTCTCCTACCATGGTGTCCCTTGTCATTCAGATGACGATGGATAGTGCGAGCTGACACTGTTACACCCTGGTCCTGTAGGTCAGCTATAGCGCCATGGGCTGTAACCTTCCTGACAATGCTGCACACAGTGGACACAGGAACAGCCAGATCTTTGGAGATGGACTTGGAGCCTTGAGATCATCCAGGCTTTTCCACTATTGTGGTTTTCAGATCCTCAGACAGTTCTTTGCTCTTCCTTCTTTTCTCCATGCTCAGTGTGGTCCATATGACACAAAGGTAACTTTTCTCCATTTTATCTGGCTGCAAGTCTGATTTCTAAGTTGCCAACACTTGTTGGTTGCTACAGGTGAGTTTCATTACAAATTAAAGGAGCATCACATGGTTGAAATACAATCATTTCTGATGGTTTTGAAAAGGTGTCAATAATTCTGTCCAGTCCATGTTTGGATCTCTGTGTGGAATTGATCAGATCTGGCTTTTTTACACAACAAATAAACATGAAAAACCAAAGAATTTGTGATTGCAACAGTTTTCTAGGAGAAGTGATGTGTTATCTGACAGAAATACAAGGGTGCCAATATTTTTGGCCATGACTGTATATATAAAAGAATGAATAGTTGCACTGAAAAGCCGAATCCGGGTCGACTGAAGATTCTTAGTCGGGCACAGCCCTGCATCTCATTAACATCTAATTGCTTGACTTGTTCTTTGGGTGAAATGTTTACCTTCCTCTGGTACCATCATTTTCGCCATATCTGAAGAGTCCTTCTTCTTCTCCTCGACCAGGGGGTGAAATGTTTACCTTCCTCTGGTACTATCATTTTCGCCTCATCAAAAGAGTCCTTCTTCTTCTCCTCAACCAGAGTCTCAATCTCCTTCATCAGGTTTCCTATTTCCTCTGTGATCCTCGCTGCAGTCTCTCTGTCAGCTCTGAGACACACCAAGTACAGAACATCACTTGAACTGAAAATTCATACTTACCCTGCACAGATGTGTTTGTGGCAGTGTTCTAAACCTTACTTCTGTTTTTCTCTCAGTTTCTGAGGCATGACATCCTCAGGAGTCCATGTGTCCTGAATATAAATGACAGTACAGTCCAGTAAAATAGCAAACACAAACCCTTTATCTTTCACCATGAATGAAATGAGCAGGGTTTGATGAAAAACAAATGGTTTATTCACTCACTGGATCTACAAAGGTGATTCCAAAGGCTTCATATCCAAAGTAGAGCAGCTCTTTCTCCAGTAAGGACTGCTGAATGTATTGTTTCACTGCCTGGAGGTGAAAAAATCAGTTTTATGTTAACTGAATCTGTTGAAACCTATCACTTGTAAAAAGATCCTCAATAATAAACTCCAATTAGTTTTTATTGTATATGACAAGGTTTTTAATAAAACTGGGTACGAGTGTGTGTGTGTGTGTGTGTGTGTGTGTGTGTGTGTGTGTGTGTGTGTGTGTGTGTGGGCGTGTTTTTCCTGCTATGTGGGGACTTCTTCCTGACTCCATACCAACTCATGAGGACCCATTTCACGGTGGGGACCTAAATTGAGGTCCCCATGGGCAAGAAATTGAATTTTAGGATGGCAACATGGTTTACGGTTAAGATGAGGTTAGGTTTAGGTTAAGGTTAGGGTCAGGGTTAGGGTTAGGCAAGTAGTGGTTCTGGTTAAGGTTAGGGTTAGTCTACAGGAAATGCATGTAAGTCAATGTAAAGTCCCCATGGACTACGAAACATAAACTGTGTGTGTGTGTGTATGTGTTCAACTGCAAAAAACAAAGTGACACTTAAGGCTGCACTAAGTAATCTCTGACTTTGAGGAACTGACAACTGAACAAACTCCAGCCACAGATAAAAACCATGAGATCCAAGTGGAAGTTCTGGTAAAAGCTTGGATAAGCTACAGGTGGTAATCCCCTACTTTTACAATGTCAGATTTGGCTTTTTTCTGCTTTTTTGTGTTGTTCCAATGCAAACAAAAGAAATAAACATGACAATACCAAATAATTTGTGATTGCAACAGTTTTCCAAAAGAAGCAGTGCATTATCCAACAGAAATGTAGGGGTGCCCATATTTTTCACCATGACTGCATAGTTACAATAGGAAGGGGTTGTGGTGGATGGTTGGTTCAGAAAATACAGGACCATTCCACATCCTCAGTCACATTTATTATTGTGACTATGACAATAAAGGCAATTTTAAACTTAAACAAACTTTTTCTAAGACTATTCAATAGTTTGTTCCTAAACCTAATGAAACCTTGTCAGTTCTATAACTGTAACTGAGAGTTTTTACCATGATGACAAAGCTCTGGTACAGTAAATGTGCTGGTGAGAGGATCCTACATGTCTGTCTACATGTCTCAGGATGGCACAGGTGAATTCTCGCTCCATTGAAAACAAATATTTTTTGCTAAATGACACTATTCAGTGTGGGCACTGAATACAGTCCTCAGTAGGACAATAGTTGATTTGACCAGTATCCAGAAGGTCAACAGAGACAATGGCATGCTGTCAGTCATTGTGTTGCATCTGGAAAAGTTAAACTGTTTCAGCACAGCCTTCGTCCCTTAATTTCTAATTGTTAGAAAACACAGGAGCTCACCCAAACAGAGTGTAATTGTGAGCGAGATAGACGTGTGTTACTGCAGCAGAGCGTCAAACAGTAGACACCTGATTTTTTTTCTGCTGTGAGTGGTTTACTGAGCAGGAAAATGTAAAATAAATAAATAAAACCCCACATTATCTGGGCCTTGCCTTCCCCCCTCCCTTCCAACACCATATATCGTACCAGAACGTTCTTTCCCATCTAGCTTTAGCCTGACCTACTTCCAATATGGAAGCTTTGGATATAATTCATTTCTCATCGCCTTGTGTTGTCAGTTAATAACCAGCAACCTGGGAGGAAGCATTGCTCCATGGCAGATAGATAACACCAAATCACAGTCATGTAGGCTCAATACGGCTCAGGGGATCATTATTTCTGATTGGGCCGTTCAAGTGTTTCACCGGCCAGGAAAAAGGTCTAGGGAGACATTTTTACCTAATTTCCCCTATGAGATCCATGTCCTGACCGTGAAACATTTACCTGGACACAAAATCATTTTTACATCTGCCATGGGGAATAAATGACACGTGTGTGTGTTGAGCTGATGTGATGAAGGAAGGATGAGCAGATATTTGAGATGATAGTGGGAGATGATCTGCAGAGAGAAAAGTGACATCCGTAACCTCCATAATCGTGTCTGGACAGCGGAATTCAGCTGGCTCACTGAATAGACAGTTTAATCGCCCAAATAAAAAATCACTTAAGGCGGCTCTCCATGCCTGTCATAAAAGGACTGGAAAGGAGAAGTGAGGTAACCCGCCACTTCAGTGTACCAACCACGCCTTCAACCTCCGCTCCATCCACCCGCAGTCTAACCACTTGATTTCCATCTGCTTGTTGGCTTGCTGGAGAGGGGTCAGAGCCGGGGCATCTCAGCAGCCAATTTTGGCACTTTAAAATCTCGTCAAGTACCCGTGCTGTTTCTCATGCACTCACTGGCAGGGTAACTGGAAACTGTTCATCACCATAGCAGGGTGTTCACTTTAAGAGTCAGGCACAGTATGTCTGTCAGTCGGAAGAGTGAGCGGGGGCCAGGTCTCGAAGTCGAAAGGAAATGAGACAACGAGCCTGCCCCTGTGTTTTTTCTCATCAGCCCCTGTTAAGACTGGCCAGGTTTGAAGGGTCAATCTGTCTTCAACCCATCTTTTCTGAGCCTCTTCTCTTACATTCTGATGCATTCTAATAGCTGCTGTTTGAACCATGAACACAGAAAGTGTTGAGCACATCAAAGACTTTGCTCTCTTCTTCTTTCTCTCCCTATCTGCATCACATCATCTCACTCTGCCTCTGTGATGTGTGCATGAATGAGTGTGTGAATGTTGAGTGTGTGTGTGTGTGTGTGTGTCAGACATCTAGAGAGGAGGGCCAGTGGTGTGTTCCCCCCCGGTTTTGGACCTGATCAAAGCGGAGTCTGTCAGTTTGCAGGTACACAAACAGCCAGCCTGTACACACACTGCACAGAACAGAGAGGGAGAGAGAGTGGCAGAGAGACACTGACACAGGAGGAGGTGTGGGTAGAGCTGCAGAGATCAGAAAGCATCATTCTGTCTTAAATCAGGGTTATGTGGAGGTCAGAATGCCTCAGCAAGCACTACTTCTTGCTCACCTCTGTATGAAAGAGGAAGTATGAAAGAGCAAGGAAGAAGGAGTGCCAACTGAGTTAAAGGTTGGACTCTCCCACCCGGGAGAAAGTGATGACAGCAACCTACCGCTTTATTAAAAGGATGACAAGACCTTGTTTTATCAACCTTCAAAATTAGACCATGGCAGGAATGTTGATGTTTCCTATTTGAAGCTTGGCTATATATATTATATACTGTATTTTCACAATTCTTATCCTGATTAAGGAGGAATATGTTTTTCTATATATGTTTGTCTTCTATATATTGTATATGTTCATCCTGTCCTGGTTCCAAATTGTCACACTGCATGTTATAGTCAGAGGAAATGTGTCATTCATACATATATAAAATTTGTTACAGGAAAAATGTTGAAAACATTCACTCATCCAACATTAGGAAATCTATAAGGTGGCCTGTAAGAAAGAATAAAAACAATGCCAGTTGAGTTTAATGTGGCAGAAACATGACCTACTGTGACAGAAAGGCAGCGGCTTCCATTAAAGCCAGTATATAGGATTTATTTCTCACCCTCTGACTGGAGTGCTTCTCAGCAGCAGTTTGCTCAGCTACACAAATGACAACACTATAACAAATTGACCATTTTCAATATCACACACTTGATATTGAATGTTGCTGTAGCGAATGTGTTAGCAGACAGTTCCAGCAGACACCGAGCAACATTAACAGTAACAGAGTCATGTTTCAGGTCAGTTGATAATTGTAAGTCCAGTATTCACTCTAGCTCAGTTTATGGTCTCTTATTATATGCAAAATATCGATTGGTGCAGCTCTAAACTCTTGTTTTGTTGCAGCATAGCCTCTGGCAACCATAACATAATATATATTCATTACACATTTACAAAGGGGTCTGATACCTTCATATATTTAACATTCCTTCCATAATGAATAATAATGAATGCCTGAGTGACGGAAATGTTCAGGTTCCCTCCAGCTACTGGTCATACTAGACCAATCATGTTGGCATTCAGAGCTGTGATGGAGTGTGAGAGGCTTGGATCACAGCTAAATGAACGTCAAATGCAAAATGATTTTACCCTAATCAAACACATAGCCAGTGCTGCATTCTGACATGCTGTATATGCAGTTAATCTATCTGCTGCCCTGTTCCTTTTTGTCTGCATCTGGCTATTGTCCCATCAGAGACTTAGAGAAACAGCCATAGGCTCCAATGTCATTGCAAACCTGTTTTCATCAGCGAGGCTGAAGTCACACAACTTTGCTAAGGTGTAGCATTACATTCGGAGTGCAGTTAAAAGGTTGTTTAGATAAATTAAAGCATCAAGCATTCCTGACATATAGCTGACAGCTGTGTGTCTGTCAGGAAAAAAGAGGGGAAAAATAGAGCACATCAACTGGCCAGGAAAATGAGAACGTTTGTCCCTGATGCCCTGTCAGAGTGAATGATTAAGATGTCTAATATGATGTTTAAAACTGTGAGGCAGGCAAACTGATAACAGCTCGATAAGGCCTCTCTCCTCGCTCATCCTCACACACTAATTAGCTTCTTACTTCTATTATTTATTTATTTATTTATTTATTTTTCGAGGATCGGGGTTTATCTATTTAAAACGTTTGAAGGGAGAGAGAGGCACCTGCATCAATCATAATTATTTTACACATACTAAAATTAGCTGAAGAGAAGAAGAACAGTCTCCTTCAGAAAGCATTGCAGGAAGAGTGAAAGGAGGCCAGTGTGAAGGAGAGAGAGTGTGTTTGTCTGTGAGAGAGAAAGAGAGGGATGAGGTGAATCGATAAATATCACTCCAACTGATTGGACCTAATTAGAGACATAGAGAGGCATTCTGGACAAAACTGGGTGGAATTGAGCTGGCCAAGTTGTCAGAGCCAATTAGGCTGCTGTGTTACTGCAGCAGAGAGAAAACACACAGACACTTAAGTTTTGTGTGTGTGGGTGTAGCAGAGTGATGATGCTTCCAGGGAAAACATGGCCAGGTGAGTGTAACTGTTCTCCCGTGGTGTGATAAAACTGTGATACAACAACAATGATAATCACTCGCAACTTATC